GTAGATATTTTGTAGCAAAAGGAAGGAAGTGGTTGACTTTGCAGGCCAGGAACGCACACCCCTGGGACCACCAAGGGAGAAGAGTGGAGTGCGGGACCCTACCCAGAGAAATAATGACTCCAGAGACAGAGGCAGAGACAATAACATGGAGAGATGAAGCAGATAAGAACTCCAGACCCAGAGAGGGAGAGGGGCTGTGTGTGGACGACCGGGGTGGGGCAGGCTTGTGTGGTATACCCTTTGGTTGGTTGATGACACATTGAGGGGGATTGTAACCAAGGCAATGTAATGACAGGATGAATGTAAAGCTAATGTTCTCCCACATAAACTATCACATAATTCATAATAAAACAGTTTAAAAAAAAAAAAAAAGATACAACTGCAATAATTCAGGTTTCCTAATTAAAAAATAAGAAATAAATATTTTTAATAATTGACTTTCCAAAGCCAGACTTAAGGCTACATCAGAAAGGTGTTAAGATGTGAGACCCCAGGGAAATCTGTTTGATATTTGTCTCCACAAAGATGATTTTATTTCCAGGTTTTGACCCAGGAGTTAGATAATGTTCTACCATTACGTTTTGGTCCAAAGGGGCCAAAGGGTAGGTGGCACAATTACTCTCTTCTTGTCTCTAATGAGGCTCTCAGGGAATCTGGCCCTGATAACCATGGAGCTTCCTGTAAATATCTGCTCTGTGATTCCCACAAACATCCATCCTGCAGCACAGAGAACTAAGACCATGAACACCTACTCCTCACTTGGTCAAGACCTACCTATATTCCCAAGACTTTCCAATTGCTACCATAGAGAAGCATTGGTAAGTTAATTATAAAAGGTGAAGAACATATACTACCTACATCAACAATTTCCCTCAGGTAAATTACAACAGAGGAAACATCAATATTTAACTTTTAAGACATAATCCTCTTTTAAAAATACCTTTACTAAACCTTCCAGATTCAGGATCAATAGTGGAAATCCTGAATCCATTAGATGGATCTCGAGATAAACCCAGTAGAAATCAGATGTTTCTCTTTTATTTATGAGGTATAACTTATTTGGGGTTAGAACTCTATTATACATAGACACATATAGCCACAGTTGGGTTGGGTTGTATATATTCTTAAGAAGCTTCCAATTTTAAATAAATAGAAGAAGATTCAGGAAGTTCAGTAGGAATAGCATAAGGTTCAGCATGGGAAATTGGTATTTAGGTAGAGTGGACACATCTTATCAGAGCAATTTGGTTAAGTAATTCGCAAAGCTGTCTTTCTCTATCCACCCATGTCTAGGTTTCTGAATTTGCTGCTGTGCATTAATCTGGCTTCATGGATATGACTGGGGCAAACCAGTCAAGTGTCTCTGAGTTCCTCTTCCTGGGATTCTCCAGGCAGCCTCAGCGGCAGCGGCAAATTCTCTTTGCACTCTTCCTGGGCATGTACCTGGTCACAGTCCTGGGAAATCTTCTCATCATCCTGGCCATCAGAACAGACTCCCGTCTGCACACCCCCATGTACTTCTTCCTCAGTAACCTGTCCTTTGTGGATGTCTGCTTTTCCTCCACCATTGTCCCCAATATTTTGGCCAACATACTCAGCAGTCAGACCATCTCCTACATTGACTGTCTCACACAGATGTATTTTTTCATTGTTTTTACAGACATGGACAATTTCCTCCTGGCTGTGATGTCCTATGACCGCTTTGTGGCAATATGCCACCCCTTACACTACACAACAAAGATGACATATCAGCTCTGTGCTCTGATGGTCATTGGATCCTGGGTTATTGCCATTCTGAATTCTCTGTTGCATACCTTGCTGATGGCTCGACTCTCATTCTGTGCAGACAACATGATCCCCCACTTCTTCTGTGATACAGCTGCGCTCCTAAAACTCTCCTGCTCTGACACATCCCTCAATGAGATGATGATTCTGACTGAAGCAGTCCTGGTAATGATCATCCCATTGCTTTGCATCCTGGGTTCCTACATTTGCATCACCTGTGCTGTCCTGAGAATCCCATCCACAAAGGGGAAATGGAAAGCCTTCTCCACCTGTGGCTCCCACCTGGCTGTGGTTTCCCTCTTCTATGGCACCATCATTGGTGTGTATTTTACCCCTTCATCCTTCCACTCAGCTGAAAAGGACATCGCGGCTGCTGTGATGTACACAGTGGTGACGCCCATGCTGAACCCTTTCATCTACAGCCTGAGGAACAAGGACATGAAAGAAGCCCTAACAAAAGTGATTTTTATGAAAATTTTTTCTATTCAACAATAACATGGGATCTAATTTTTATAAAGAAAGGTCATTTGTAAAGCCCCCCCACCCCCATTTTCTGATGTTGTCAGAAAGCAGGGGTAATTCGTATTGGATATGACAATATCTTGTCTAGAGGAGGGGACACTAGAGGGAGGTGAAAGCTGGAAATGATAAGGAATCAGCTGTCACTCATATCAGCCAGGATGGGGGATGTTTCATCATTTCTGTGTCCTGGACAAGGTTTATGCTTTTGTCTAACATGACTGCAGTGGTCTTGTTTTGTCTTGATCCCTCATGGTCACTTTGTCTGATACTGATGTTCTGTGAATTTCTCTATGTTCAATAGGGGAAGAGTTCGTTTAGGTAAGCAGCAAGTCCTAATGCAACCAGGCATTTGAGCTCATTATACTGACCTATGTATCTGAGCTTTATACATCTGTATCATAAAAGGTTCTGTGATGGGGCAGTGGTCAAGCGCCTCAAACTCAAATCCTGCAAGGTCTTTTCTAACACCATCCTACTGAGAAGTTCCATGATTCTAAAGTTAGGGTGCTCTTTCTTTTGATGAGTAATAAACACAAAACTAGAGTTGTCTTCCTATGGGATTGGGCTGGAGGACATTGGGAACTGGAATAATGATGGGACCATATGATGCTGTAAAGATTTCAGCCTTTGAAGCCTTATGGGCAGTTCTTCCCTGTCCTATAGGTTCACTATAAGTCAGAATTGACTCAAAACCATTGGATTTGCTTTTAGGATGTGTCATAAAATATTTTAGCAAGAATTACACCCAGAATGCTTCTTATAAACCAGGATGGTGAAGATCTGTCTCTCATACTTCAGACATATTATCAGGAGGGACCAGTCCCTGGAGAAGGATAGAATGCTTGGAAAAGTGAAAGGTCCATGACAAATAGGAAGCCCCCCAATGAGCTGGATTGGTGCAATGGCATCAGCAAAGGGCTCCAGTGTAACAATGAGTGTGAGGCTGGCACAGGACCAGGCAGTGGGGTCCCGTTCGGTTGTTCACACAATTGCTGTGACTCAGAGCCGACTGGATGGCACCTAACAACAACAACAAATGGGTAAATGAATCCAAAAGTATCTTCCGCAATCCCAATGCCCAGTCTTGCCAACTTAGTTAAGCTTTGTCTTATCTTAGGACAATGTGTTTAGGTATTTGTACACAGATCATGTATATTCTGGCTTCCCACTTCCATTCTATATCACACTTTTCCATATTGCTATACAACACAGCTTTTATGTTACTGTCCTTATATATTTCCATCAAGTTTCTTTAACAAAATGCACTCATTAGTCATGTTGTATCTATATTCAAACATAATGGAAATTTGCAATTTAAAATGTGGTATGAAATTTATTTGGAAACAAATGTGGGAAATAACTAATTTGAGAAATACTTGAAACTGGATAAAGCATCACCAAACAGAATGCTCTGGATTTTGAGGAATAAAGAGGAAAATAGAGCAGTTTTCCTTAATTTCTCATTTTAGAGAGAAAGGTAAGAGGACATCTTGTGTGAAACCAAGATTTCACAAAATTCAGAATCAGACTGTTCTGAGTTTGGCTGAGGATTGTCTTTTTCATATTGATCAGATCTGTGTATTGAGAGGTTTGCCTTAGAGAATAACATATGGGAGAATTGTCAATATTTAGTGTATGTAGCCATATTTTGTCATACAATAGAGGGCATCTGTTCCTTAAACATTTGAAAGAAACCCACAACGCTTGGTTTGTATGTGGTTGTGTACATAGTGGTACGGACAAAAGAAGGGATGACAGCTTATATGTCCTCATCAATTGCTGTCATTGTTAGGTACCTGCGAGTTGGTTCTGACCTTATAACAATCCTGTATACAACGGAACAAAACAGTGTCTGATCCTGCGCCACCCTCCCAATCCTGCCATGTTTGAGTCCATTGCTGCAGCCTCTGTTGATCCAACTCACTGAGGGTCTTCCTCTTTCACTGCTGACTCGACTTCACCAAGCATCAGGTCCCTTTATCTGTATTGGTCCTTCCTGATAACTTGCCCAAAGTCAGTGAGACCAAGTCTTGCCATCCTTGCTTCTAAGAAGCACTCTGGCTGTACTGCTTCCAAGACAGATTCGTTCCTTCTTCTGGGAGTCCATTAAATGTTTCACCTCAGTTAGTATACCATAGTTCTTTAATGTCATGTGTGTGTGAGTTGTTGCTGCTTTTAAAGTTTTACAAAAATCATCTCCTTTACTAGGTTTTTATGTAATTCTATTACCATGGAATTGTGTAGTCATACTTCTCATTTAAATTCTAAGATCAGCTTTATATCTATTTTTTTTTATCTGTTATTTTTATTTCTTACTTTACTTATATTTAGGTTGTTGCATTTGGCAGAAATGTGTACCTTTTTTTTTAATGAACCCTTTCTTGTATTCATTCACCAATTGTATTCACTCTATACTTTTTAAAATGTATTCATTATATCTAAGTATTCTTGGTCTTCTTTCCCCTTTAAACCTATATTTTTGTATACAGTTTTCTAATGTAACATAAATTTATGACATAACATCAGAAGACACTGATGATGGCACATGATGAATGTGAATGATGTTACTAACCTATACAGATGAAGATTCTAGAAATGCAAAGGATCAGTTACCTATATACATTTACTACAATTATAAAAACTCATAAGACAGGCTAAGAAATATAAACTTTAATAGCATCAAATTCAGTGATATTTTGTGCATTTTCTCTGCTGTCTTACTATTGTAAATAATACGACAATAAGCAGCTTTGTAAATTCCTCTGTATATGAACACTTGATTATTTCCTAAGAATAGGAAATCATTTCTAAAACTAGAAATTCTAAGCAATAGTTGACATTTTAATACATATTATCTACCCAGTTTATTCCAGAAAGTTTTTATCACACCATTTCCCAACAGCAGGGTATGAGCTCACCTTCCACCCAAACTCCCATCAGCCCTGGCATTTTAATATTTTGCCAATTTTTAAAATAATATGACACTGCATTCTAGTTAATTTTCCATTCATAATGTCCTTCTCCAGGGACTGATCACTCCTGATAATAGCCCAAAGTATGAAAGATAACATCTTGCCATCCTGGCTTCCAAGGAGCATTCTGACTGCACTTCTTCCAAGATAGATTTCCTTGTTCTTCTGGCATTCCATGGGACTTTCAATATTCTTCACAAATTCATTAACTCAAATGCATCAATTCTTCTCTTGTCTTCCTTATTCATTGTCCAACATTTACAAATCTGAGGCTACTGAAAATGCCATCGATTGGATCAGGTGCTCCTCAGTTCCCAAACTAATAGCTTTGCTCTTGAGCACTTTAAAGAGATATTTTGCTGCAGAATTGTCTAATACAATACTTCTTGACTTCTGTTTCCATGACAGTTGGTTGTAGATACTAGAAAAATGAAGTCTTTGACAATTTCAATCTTTTCTCCATTTATCATGATTTTATTTATTAGCCCACTTGTGAGGACTTTCATTTTCTTGACATTGAGATGCAATCCATACTGAAGGCTGTAGTCTTTAAACTTCGTCAGTATTTCTCATTCTCTTCACTTCCAGCAGCAAGGTTGCATTACCTGGATGTCACAAGTTGTTCATGAGTCTGCCTCCAATCCTGATGCCACATTCTTCTTCATATTTAGTGTATGTATCCACAATTTCATCATATGGCACACATATTTCCTGATTTAATTATTTGATATCCCCTTGTTCTGTTCGAACAATTGCCCTTTGGTCTATGTGTAGGTTCTTCAGGAGCACACGTAAAAGGTTCTGGAACAGCCATTCTTCATATTGTTATCCATTGTTTGTTGTGTTCCACACAGTTGAATGCCTTGGCATCGTACATAAAGCACAAGTAAACATCTTTCTGGTACTCTCTGCTATTAGCAATGATCCATCTGACATCAGCAATGATATTCCTCAGTCCATGTCCACTTCTAAATCCGACTTGAATTTCTGGAAATTCCCTTTCAGTATACTGCTGCACTCATTTCTTAATGATCTTTACCAAAAGCTTATTTGCATGTCATATTTATGATATTGTTTGACAATTTCTGCATTACATTGGGTTACCTTTCTTTGGAATGGTCACATGAATATGGATGTTTTCCAATCTGTTGACCATGTAGCTGTCTTCCAAATTTCTTGGCATAGACAAGTGAGGCTCTCCAATGGTGCATCAGTTTGTTGAAACATTTCAATTTGTATTTCATCAATTCCTGGAGCCTTGCTTCTCGCCATTGCCTTCAGTGCATCTTGAATGTCTTCCTTCTGTAACACCGGTTCTTCTTCAGCTTCACCTATTGAAATGGTGAAACACTGACCGTTTCTTTTTGGTACAGTGATTTTGTATATTCCTTTCATCTTCTTTTGATGCTTCCTGCATTATTTAAAATTTGCCCATAGGATCTTTCAATATTTCAAGTGGCTGCTTGAAATTTTCTTCAATTCTTTGCACTTGAGAAATGCTAAGCATGTTCTTCCCTTTTGTTTTTCTAACTCCATGTCTTTGCACATATCATTATAACAATTGACTTTGCCCTCGAGTCTCCCTTCAAAATTTCCTGTTCAATAGTTTTACTTGAACATTTCTTCCATTCTCTTGAGATTCTTTACCCTCAAGAGCAAGTTTCAGACTCTCTTCTGAAATCCATTTTTTTTTTTTGTTTGTTCTTTACTTTCTGTTTTTTTATTGATCTTTTGCTGTCTTCCTGTATGATGTTCTTGATGTCATCCCACAACTCTTCCGTTCTTCGGTCATAAGTATCTAATACATCAAATCTGTTAATGAGATGGTTTCTAAATTCATGTTGGTTATATTTAAGGTGTGTGGACTTGTTTTAATTTTGTTAAGCTTCAGTCTGAAGTTGCATATAAGCAATTGACTGTCTGTTCCACAGTTGACCTGTGCCCTTGTTTTAGCTGATGATATTGAGCTTCTCCATTGTTGTTTCCCACAGTTGTGGTCAA